GCCCCCACCCACGGCGTACCTACGCGGCTGAGCGGGAGAGGAACAAGCTTTTGCTCCACAGCAGCGGCAAAGGCGGCAGGAATCGCTCACGCAAGTGCGTCCGCACACACGCGTGCTCCGCCACCGGTCTATATAGCCGCGGCGCAACCGAACTTGCTGCGGCCAGGTCAAGCAAGGCCGGGACCAATCCCGACTGCGTCCTTGGAGCTCTTCGAACGGCCATTGGATAGAGCCGCCCGATAAAGGTGTGGCTCTTGATTGGCTTCCACACCTCCCTATGAGAACGTAGAGCTCGCGCTTCCCTATAGAAGATTGGCATGCGGCACGTCCAATAGCTCGGAGGAATACTGGACGAGACGGTGGGACCTTCTTCGACCGATACCCCTGATAACCAATAACTGCAAAGGGCCTATCCCATTGGTTCAGATCTCTTCCTCTGGGCGGAGATCTAGTTCCCATGCGGGAGCGGTTGCTCCACAAGGTGGGGCCCGTGTACTTTGGGGAAGTAAACCCCAAGCAAGTAGAAGGCGGGCGCGGGGGCGGGAAGGGGAAAAACCTAGGGAGTCCAGGGCCAATCGCAACGCTGAAAGCGGCTGATTGACGTGTGGCCGGGGAGGCGGGGTCGGAGCGCTCCAAAGACAGAGCCCCGGGGCTGCTGTGCCCTCCGGGGGCGGTTAGGAAGTCCTCCGGGCTTGGATTTCCGTCCTTTTTCCATTCTTGAGCTCATTTCGTTGAATCCGGGCCCCTGAGGATTCCCCCGATCTTATCTTCCCTGCACACTTTTTTTTTTTTGGGGGGGGGAACAAGTAGCAAAGTTTCCCAGTTCTGTTGTGCTTTTTTCATTTTCTCTTATTACAACTTTTTAATCGCCCTGCCTTCCCCCAGATCCCTATGGCTAAGCGCCTGGCATTAGTCAGCAGCAATGCAGAAGGAAAGCTCTAGAAGCTGAGCATCTGGGGGGTGGGGGGGTCACGTGGAGTTGGTGCTGAGCCCTGCGGAGTGGCGCGAAGATTGGCTGTGGGTGTTTGCGTGGAAGTTCTCCTTTTCCCCGGTGATTTCATTCTCCTTAATCAGGAAGCTGGGAATCCCACTGCACCCCCACCCACCCACCTCCACGCGAGTGCGCCTGCGCAGCACCCTGGGCTGGGGCCACTCGGGTCCTGCCCCTGGTCTGATTGGCTGTGGGTGTGGCTGTGGCGGGGTTGTTACACCTGTCCAAGGTACCCTCATCTCACCTTGTAGCTGGACATCCCAAAGATCCATCCCTCCCCCCACCCCAGGACGCAGATCATTATTGGTCATGGTGGGTGCCTGTTAGGCCACAGACAGGCCTCCATTGATTCTCTGTCTTGAGAGAGAGGGCGAAGGAGAGGGAGAGAGGAGGGGGGTCCTGATGGTTTTTTCTCTCTCTCTCTCTCTCTCTCTCTCTCTCTCTCTTTCTCTCTTTCAGGCTAGCTCTCTACCATTTGAGCCATAGTTCCCCTGGCCAAAGCTCCTCTGGTTTTTGTAGTGGTTCATTGGGGATAGTCTCACAGATGTGACTGCCCAGGTTTTGAACCTCGATCCTCAGATCTCAGCCTCCTGAGTGGCTAGGATTACAGGTGTGAAGGCCCTGAACTCCCCAACCCCGGGAAAAGATGTCAGTTTGTAAGCCCCAGGAGCCGAAGTCACCCAAAGTTTGCCAGCAAACTTTGCAGATGGAACCTGCAGAAATCATCTTAGCCTAGCCAAGGAACTTGGACTTCGGTCTGAGTGCCTTGCAGACTCCCTGGTAGGTGTTTGCTGTGGTTTTTGGTTTTGTTTTGGGGGATTTGGGGGGTTTGTTTGACGGTATTGGGGCCTGAACTCTGAGCCTGGGCGCTGCCCCTCAGCTCTTCAGCTCAAGGCTAGCGCTCTACCACTTGAGCCACAGCTCCCCTTCCAGCCTTTTCTGCTTATATGGTACAGAGGAATCGAACCCAGGGCCTCATGCATGCAAGGCAAGCACTCTACCACTGAGCCACCTTCCTAGCCCCTTTGCTGTGGTTTTTTAAAGGCAGAGCAAGACATTTGCCATTGGTTTTTACCAGAAAAATGTAAAAGTTGGTGGGGGGTTGGGGTTTTTTTTGGGGTGTGTGTGGAATTGTTTGTTTACTTTTTTTAAATACACAGAGTCAGATCCCAGTGGCTCCCAGCTACTCTGGAGGCTAAGATTTGAGGATCGAGATTCAAGACCCTGAGTTCAATCCCCAGCACCAGCACACACATACACACTATTAGCCAAAGTTAATTGTACTAAGGAGTCTCATCACGATCTTTACATACTTGTATATAGTACCATTTTATCAAATTCACAGGATTTTATTACTCTGTCTTGTTTTAACAGTTATCAATGGGGTTCATTTATGATATATTTTTTTTTGGTCGGTTGTGGGGCTTGAACTCTGGGCTTGGGCGCTGTCTCTGTGCTCTTCAGTTCAAGGCTAGCGCTCTAACACTTGAGCCACAGCGCCACCTCCGGTCTTCTAGTGGTTAATTGGAAAAAAGAGTCTCACAGACTTTCCTGGCCAGGCTGGCTTTGAACCCCGATCCTCAGATCTCAGCCTCCTAAATAGCTAGGATTACAGGCATTAGCCCTGGGCGCTCAGCTGATATTTTTTTTTAATATGTGAGTGTATATATGTGTACTAGTATTGGGATTTGAAATCAGTTCCTCCAGCTCTTGCTCTGCTGTTTTTTTTTTTTTTTTTTTTATAACTAGCACTCTACCACTTGAGGCACAGCACCACTATGGCTTTTTCTGTGTATGTGGTACTGAGGAATGGAACCCAGGGCTTCATGCATGCTAGGCAACTGGTCTACCACTGAGCCATATTCCCAGCCCTAGGCACTATGTCTTAGCTCAAGGCTGGCACTCTACCACTTGAGCCGCAGCTCCATTTCTAGCTATTTTGCTGGTTAATTGGAGATAAGAGTCTCACAAACTCTTTCCTGCCCACATTGGATTCAAACCTTGTTCCTAACATCTCAGCCTCCTAAGTAGCTGGGATTACAGGTGTGCGCCACTGGTGCCCAGCTTCCTGTGGGCTCTTGGCTCTGAGCGCTCAAGTTCCTCTCCAGAAGTGATTACAAGAAACCCTTAATGATGACTAACAAAGAAATGAACTTTGGCCAGCATAGAAGAAGGCTCACTTTTCTTCCCATGCCCTTTTGGCATTTAGGATTTATTTTTGAGGGGTTTTCTTGGTGCCAGTCTTGGGGCTTAAACTCAGGCCTGAGCACTGTCCCAGAGGAGCTTTTGTGCTCAAGGCTAACATTGCACCCACTTGAGCCACAGCGCCACTTCTGGTTTTCTGGTGGTTAATGGGAAATAAGAGTCTAATGGACTTTCCTGCCCAGGCTGGCTTTGAACCACGGTCCTCAGATCTCAGCATCCTAAGTAGCTAAGATTATAGACATGAGCCACTAGTGCCTGGCTGTTATTTTTTTAAAAATGTTAATTACAGATATTAAGGGTGATAGGAGGAATTGCAAGATGGAATTTTGATCTTTAAAACAAACCAGAAGCTGGCCCTGGCAGCTCACACCTGTCATCCTAGCTACTCAGAAGCCTGAGATCTGAGGATTGAGATTTGAAGCCAGTTGGGTCAGGAAAGCATGGAAGATTCTTATCTCCAGTTAGCCAGCAAAAAGCCAGAAGTGGAGCTGTAGCTCAAGTAGTAGAACACCACCTTCACTAGGAAAAAAAGAAAAGAGCAAGAATATAAGGACCTGAATTGAAACCCCAGAACTGGCCATACAAGGAGAGAAGAAAAGGCTGGGAATATGGCTTAGTGGTAGAGTGCTTGCCTAGTATGCATGGGTTTGATTCCTCAGTACCAGATAAACAGAAAAATCAGGAAGTGGTGCTGTGGCTCAAATGGTAGAGTGCTAGCCTTGAGCAAAAGAAGCTCAGGGACAGTGCCCAGGCCCTGAGTTCAAGCCCCAAGACTGGCAAGAGAGGAGGGGGCAGAGGAAGGAAAGAGAAGAGAAGAGAATGGACAAGACAAAACTTCTCCTCTGGCTTCAGCCAACACTTACCTAGTTTGGAACAAAGTATCAACCCATTCTAGAGTTGGAAAGATCTAGTTAAATTGTAGCAAGTTTGTCCTTTGACAGAAAAATGTGCAGATAGATACAAAGCTGTCTGAAAGAGTCATGGAAAGGTCTTAAAGGGATTTTTCTTTTTTTCTTTTTTCTTTTGCCAGTCCTGGGCACTGTCCCTAAGCTTCTTTTGCTCAAGGCTAGCACTCTACCACTTTTGCCACAGCACCACTTTTGGCCTTCTCTGTGTATGTGGTACTAAGGAATCGAACCCATGGCTTCATGCATGTTAGGCAAGCACTCTACCAGCATGCCAAAGTCCCAGTCCCTTAAATGGATTTTTCACTTTAGCTACATTGTTTTGAGGGTTTTGTTTGTTCTTTACAGTAGGAAGCTTTTCATATACTCTGTAATTTAAAAAGTAAAAGTCAAGCTCTGATGGCTCATGTCTGTAATCCTAGCTACTCCAGAGGCTGAGATATGAGGATCACAGTTCCAAGCCAGTATAGGCAGAAAAGTCCATGAGAGTCATACTGCCAATGAACCACCAGAAAACCAGAAGTAACACTGTGGCTCAAAGTAATAGAGTGCTAACCTTGAGCAAAAGAACTCAGGGATAAGCCAGGCGCTGGTGGCTCACGCCTGTAATCCTAGCTACTCAGGAGGCTGAGATCCGAGGATCGTGGTTCAAAGCCAGCCCAGGCAGGAGAGACCGTGAGACTCTTATCTCCATTAAACCACCAGAAAACCGGAAGTGGCACTGTAGCTCAAGTGGTAGAGCGCTCGCCTTGAGCTGAAGAGCTGAGGG